AGCTACCTGATCCTAGAGGTTCGGTCTTCAAAGCCGGCCAGCTAGCCAGGGTACAAATCCAGGCTCTGCCATCGCGCAGCCTCGGGGAATGCACGCACCCTCCCTTTCCTGGCCTGCGAAGTGATTAGAATAGTACCTGCCTCATAGGATTCATTAGCAATTATATGTGCAAATGCCTGCCACGTGTAAGTTCAATTCACAGCAGCTTCTGTTAGTGGTGGGCCCTACCATCATCAGAGGACATAAAAAGAGGCGGCAGGTAGCTGAAGGGTCAGGATGACCAGTCTACACCAGCAGCTGCAAACTCAGTGCCTACTGGGACCGGACGGGTCAAGAAAATGAGAGAAGCCAGGCTGGGTGGAGACTGGGATAGACAGAAGGGCACGCGTGGAATCTGTCCAAAGCGGACCCTGCTCAGCCCCATCCCCTGGTGCCAGGTAGGAGTGCAGACCCGGGTTGCCTGGGCTTGTGACGTTTTAAGAGAAGCAGGAAATCTGGGGTTTTATATGAGATCTCCTGATTTTTTTTTTTTTTTTAATGTGGCAACTCATTCAAACTTTTGATTTTTTTAATTACTGCCTGGGCCAAACAAACATCTCTGTGGGTTGACTTGGCCTCAGCCCCTACTTGTGATCACATGTCTACACGGGCATCCTTTTCCAGATAATTGCTTAGGTGTCCACTTCCTTTTAGCCAGAGGCTCGTGGATCGAAATGTACCTTTCTGATTTAGTGATAATCTGTAACAAATTGGTGTGGGTTGGAAAGCAAATCAGCTAACTGGAAAGGAAGTAACTGAATAATCCCAAATTCAGGTTTTGACCCTACCTGGCGTTGAGGGCTTGCGTGGGCAGGCAGATGGATGCGTGCGCTGCCCCTCACATCTAGCTATTTTGTCCATCGTACAATATATAAAGGGCAAGGGGATTTGATGGTGGGGGGCCGGGGGAAGAGCTGTAGCCAGAATGTTCTCTCATACAGCAGTTACAGCCCCTCACTCAGCATCCCTAGCTTAGAGTAAGCTTCTTGTGTACTTAGTCTGAAGTGGAACTTTATGTTTTAACATATCTTCTGTAGTTGTGAGTAAATGGTAGTCATTTGTTTCTTGGCTTCTTTAGTTATTGGACCAAATCACCCCAACAAGTCCTCGGGTAGTCAGGTGTAATCGGGTTTGGTTTTTAACATGCTTTTAAAGTAAGGAAATAAATACAATCGAGCTTGTAGAAGGTGATCATTAGAGAATGGGCCTTGGTCCCATAACTTTAAAGTAATAGCCCCATTACGGAGAGGGGGGGCGATGATTTTTTAACTGTTCCTTGCATTGATGTTGTAAGGTAGAGGGGATTCGCGGGCAGGTTGGGCATTTCAGTAAAAGCTTTTCCAGCAGCCATTTAACCTCCATTTATGAAGAAATAAAGCGAAATTGATGCTGATTTGGGCCTGCTTTGGGGGATATTTTTGTTCCATAAAAGCCCTTTTGCTTGCAATTTGCTGAGCTGCCCTGTCACATCAGAAAGGGCTGCTGTTGATAAAGATAAAGCTTTATGGCCACGATATTTGCTGCTAACAGCAACCTAATGCAGCATTTTCATTTTTGTGCAATTAATGTTAACGTCTGCTACGAAAATTGTCATTAAATACCATTTTAAAATCCATTCAATTTGCATATGCAAAGCCCATTTACCATCACAGAAGATATAGCTGGTACTTCATCACGTCCTTTCCCTGAAATTGCAGCCATCCAGTTTTATAGCAATTTAAGATTTCTTTTTTTAGAGGTTTTTTTTTTTTAAACTCCATGATCTGTATATTGACACATGCTCATTCACAACTCAAGAATTTCATTTTATTTTATTTATTTTATTTTATTTTTTTTGCAGTACTCGGGCCTCTCACTGTTGTGGCCTCTCCCGTTGCGGAGCACAGGCTCTGGACGCGCAGGCTCAGCGGCCACGGCCCACGGGCCCAGCCGCTCCGCGGCATGTGGGATCCTCCCGAACCGGGGCACGAACCCGTGTCCCCTGCATCGGCAGGCGGACTCTCAACCGCTGCCACCAGGGAAGCCCCTGGAATTTGATTTTTTTTTTATTATATATTTTAAAATTATTTATTTATTTTTGGCTGGGTTGGGTCTTCGTTGCTGTGCAGGGGCTTTTCTCTAGTTGTGGAGAGCGGGGTCCACTCTTCATTGTGGTGCGCGGGCTTCTCATTGCGGTGGCTTCTCTTGTTGCAGAGCACAGGCTCTAGGCACGCAGGCTTCAGTAACTGTGGCTCACGGGCTTAGTTGCTCCATGGCATGTGGGATCTTCCCAGACCAGGGATCGAACCCGTGTTCCCTGCATTGGCAGGTGGACTCTTAACCACTGCGCCACAAGGGAAGCCCGCAATTTAAGATTTTATATTGAAAGCTAGATGATAATGGATGTCCTTTCTGAGCCCAGCTGACTTAAGATTTTCCATTGTATGTAGAATAATGCAGCCCCAGGACCAGAAACTCTGGGGGATCACGCTGTACCTCAAGCCCCAAGGAGGCGAGATATGGAAGAAAGGGCATGGGACAGGGAGTCCACCAGCCTAGCTTGAGATCTGGCTTTTGTCTGGTCACAACTTGCTGTGTGACCTTGTGAAAATCTCTTCGCCTCTCTGAGCTTCTATTTTCCTGTTTTAAAGAGGGGCTTCAAACCAAGTGATTCCTAATGTGCTATGTGTTCTAATATCTCATATTTTTAAATCTAAGTACACTAGATGAAGAATGCAGGCCAAGCTGTGCTGTGAAAAATTTGTGTGAACTTGTGGACGTCAATTAATCTCTCCATGACTCAGCTGGATAAGTAACCCTGCCTACTTCCCGCACAGGTTTTTTTTTTTTAATTAAAAAAAATCTTTTTAATTTTTTTTTTTTTTCTGGTACGCGGGCCTCTCACTGTTGTGGCCTCTCCCATTGCAGAGCACAGGCTCCGGACGCGCAGGCTCAGCGGCCATGGCTCACTGACCCAGCCGCTCCGCGGCATGCGGTATCTTCCCAGACTGGGGCACGAACCCGTGTCCCCTGCATCGGCAGGCGGACTCTCAACCACTGCGCCACCAGGGAAGCCCCTTTTTAATTTTTTTATTGAAGTATAGTTGATTTACAATGTTGTGTTAGTTTCTGGTTCATGGCAAAGTGATTCAGTTGTACATATATACATATGTATATTCTTTTTCATATTCTTTTCCATTATGGTTTATTACAGGATATTGAATATAGTTCTCTGTATACAGTAGGACCTTGTTGTTTATCTATTTTATATATAGTAGCTTGTATCTGCTAATCCCAAACTCCTAATTTATCCCTCCTCTACCCCCTTTCCCCTTTGGTAACCATAAATTTGTTTTCTATGTCTGTGAGTCTGTTTCTGTCTTGTAAATAAGTTCATTTGTATCCCATTTTAGATTCCACATATAAGCGATGTCATGTGATACTTGTCTTTCTCTGTCTGACTTGCTTCACTTAGTATTATCATCTCTAGGTTCATGCATGTCGCTGCATTTGCATTATTTCATTCTTTTTTTTTTTATAGTAGTACTATATTCCTTTGTATACATATACATCTTTTTATTTTCTGAATTTCTTTCTTTTTTGTGAATTTTATTTTATTTATTGATACAGCACGTTCTTATTAGTTATCTATTTTATACATATTAGTGTATATATGTCAATCCCAATCTCCTAATTCCTCCCACCCCACCAAGCACCGCTTTCCCCCCTTGGTGTCCATACGTTTGTTCTCTAAATCTGTGTCTCTATTTCTGCCTTGCAAACCAGTTCATCTGTACCATATTTCTAGATTCCACATATATGCATTAATATATGATATTTGTTTTTCTCTTTCTGACTCACTTCACTCTGTATGACAGTCTCTAGATCCATCCACATCTCTACAAATGACCAAATTGCGTTCCTTTTTATGGCTGAGTAATATTCCATTGTATATATGTACCACATTTTCTTTATCCATTTGTCTGTCTATGGACAATTAGGTTGATTCCATGTCTTGGTTATTGTAGACAGTGCTGCTGTGAACATGGGGCTGCACCGGGTTTTAGTGACAATGAAATGAAATTGACGTAGAGACAGGACATACCCTGAGAATCCCAGAATGCCAGTGACTGCTGTAATATCCTATTTACAGATGAGGAAACAGAAGCCCTGGAGGGAAAGAGAGTTGGGAACAAAGGTGGGACGAAAAGCCCGGGTGACTCCTCCTGGACACCATGCTGCCTTCAAGACACTGGTGACCAGTATGGACCAGTCTAGTGGTCACACAGCTGGGGCTCTGTCCCTCTGCACTCCAGGCAGTCCTGGAGAACCTTGCCTTGCCTCGAGGGATCGACTTGGGCATTATTTCAAAGGTGGGAGAAGGACAGTATACAGATGATTAGTTAATCTGGCCCAGAAGTGACTTTCCAATGTGTCTCTAGTGCCACCTTTCAGGTTTTGAGGGCTGATGAACAGCGATGAACAAACAGCCTTTCTGCTGAGAGAGATGTGCGTAGAGTTTGAGGCCAGGGAGGTGGGAAAGCTTACCAAAGAGAGGAAGCTGAGCTGAGCTTTGATGAGCAAGTAGATTCTACCAGGTAGGACGCTGAGAAAGGCAGAGGGAAAAGCATACAAAGGTATGGTGGGAAACACTGCGGGAAACACCGTGGCAGTTCCTCAAAGAAATAAACATAGAATTCCCACACAATCCAGCCATTACCCTTGTGGGTATATACCCAAAAGAATTGAAAGCAGGGACTCAGGCAGATAGCGTACGCCCATGTTCATAGCAGCGTTATTCACAATAGCCAAAAAGTGGAAATAATCCAAGTGTCCATCAAGGGATGAGTGGATAAACAAAATGTGATATATACACACCATGGACTGTTATTCAGCCTGAAAAAGGAAGGGAATTCTGATCCATACTGTCAGGACAACATGGATGTACCTAGAGCACCTTATGCTAAGTGAAATAAGCCAGATATAAAAGGACAAATACTATATAATTCCACTTATATGAGGTCCCTAGAGTAGTCGAATTAATACAGAAAGAAAGTGGAGGGTGGTTACCAAGAGCTGAGGGGGTGCGAAATAGAGGGTTACTGTTTAGTGGGTACACGGTTTCAGTTTAGGATGAAGAAAAAGTTCTAGCGATGGATGGTGGTGAAGGTCGTGCAGCAATCTGGATGTACTTAATGCCCTTGAACTGTACACCTAAAAATGGTAAATCTTATGTATATGTAACCACAGTAAAAGACGATTAGAAAAAATAAAATAAGAAATAAAGGAAGCCTCACCTCCCCCCCAAAAGTTGAGTAGCACAGCCAAAGGAAGGCACCGGTCCCGGAACAGTGGGTTGTGATGGGAAAGGACTGGAGATAGACTGTCAATGGCCTTGCATGTGGGCAGAGCAGGGCAGTGCCACACAGATGGACACCAAGATACAGGCTTAGTCTCAGGTGTCACAGATGGGACTTGGGGCAGCTGGAGGCCCCAGGCCGTTCACTGCTGGCTGACAGCACTGCTATTTATCTGTACAATGTAATGTACAAATATCAGTGATTTTTGTAATGCTTGTGTTGTGACGTAATATGGGTTGGGAAGCCCTGTTGTACTGGACATTTGCTGGTTTTGCCTGCTAGCGTGTTCTGTTCTTCTCCTTCTGGATCAGAACCTCTATTTCTGCATCTTTTCCACCATCAGCCCCTGTAGATCGTGGGGACTGATTCCAACCACGCCCCCTCCAAGGAGGGGCAAGGGATCGGGCCTGGCCAATCAGAGCACCAGAATCCCCCGGCCTCAGTAATTGGTGCAGAGGCAAAAGTGTGACCCAGGCCTGGCCAATCAGTGTAGGTCACAATTTCTACTCACTCCTTTGGTTGGTTCAGGGATAAGCACGCTACTGAAGTTGGACCAAAGAATCTTAATCTCAAGGCTTTTGTAGTTCCTACACCACTCCCACTGGGGTCGCTAAAAGTGTAGGATGTAAGAATGGAACTGATTCTGGCCATTTTGCCACACGAGGGAGAAGCCTGTCGGAGAACGGAGCCCAAACTGGGAAGCACAGCCAGGTCATGGAGAGACATACCCAACGCTGGTGACATTGCCTGATTGCCTAGATCCAGCTATGCCTGAAGCGCTACCTTTTCAATCATGTGAGCCAATAAATTCCCCTTAAAAAAAATCAAAGTCGTTTGAGTTGAGACTTGATTACATGCAACCACATTCTACTTTTATAGAATGTCATGCATTCCAGAGTTGGGACATGGGTCACATGTCTGCCTCTGAACCAATCACTTTGGCCGTGGTTTGTGAGATATGTTGATTGGCCAGGCCTGGATCACTCGCCCCTCCCTGGAGTCCAGAGTCATGCTCCCACATTGTTCCCTAATTCAGTCACCACTGAGCAGCCCCCTCACCATCACGGGTGCCAGCCGTCTGGCACGGGTGCCAACCATCTTACCGTGCCCGGATCCCGAATGTCATATTCGGAGGGAGAGAGGGCGGTTCCTTCTTGAGGCGCCGGTCATCCTGGTCACTGATGCGGATGTCATTGAGCTGACGGTAATGGAAATTCTCCCGGGCAGTTACCAGGCCAGCTTTTACTGCCCCACGGTTCATGGCGATATAATTCCGGTTCAGCTCATGGGGGCAGGTAGGCTGCTGTTTAAATACATTCCAGTGTCCAATGGCTGAGGGCAGGGAGAGACAGAGCCATGGCATGGAGATCAGTCTGGGAAGTAAAGCAATCCGTGGCCTCTGACAGAGAAGAAATTGGGGCACAAATACCTTCTCATTAACCTGCAGCCTGTTGGGTGACAGCCCTGCTTGGCCCCCTGAAAGGGTGGGGTCAGGATTCCCAGAGATTCTAGGCGATGCCTGAGCCTCCTTCATGGAGCTGGGTTTGCCTGGCCTTGACCTCGTTTGGGAGATCAGAGGGCTGGTCACGAGCCTGTCTATGCTTGCAGCTCAAAAGGTGCAGAGCACAGACAGTCTTGCCTGGGGACAAGGTTCCACACTGTCTGGGGCCCTTGCTATTTCCCTGACACCTTAGACCTGGACCCTTCGTGGTCCTGTCCTTCTCGGCTAAGCAAACTGTGGTTTCCACCAGAATCGTGCTGCAGGGCAGGCCCCTCGACTCTTTTCCTGGAGGAAGTAGCCTAGGTAGAGCGTTCAAGTCCCTTTGGGCTCCAGAGGAAGCTTGCTCACCTTCAGGGACCCCTCCATCCTGCCCCCGGATGTAGAGTCCGTAATTAAAATTAATTCCAGGCAGACTGCAGCTTCTTTCCCGGGGCTTCCCAAGTTCAGCCTGTTGGGGGAAGGACAGAGAGCCAAGGTGAGCAGTGGAACCTCAGACCAACAGTATTACACTAAATTCAGTGACAGGGAGTCATCGGGTGCTGCTTTACCCCAGGCCCTGGGGGCGACCTCGGGGCTACTAGGGTGTGGAACGCGAGCCCTCCCTGAGATGAGCGCTAACTGTTGTTGGGCGTTGAGACACCTTGGGGAAGCCTGCCTGCTGTGCTACTGCTCAGGGGCGGGTGAGGAGAGCAGAGTCAGGAGGACCCTCGTGGCGGGGGGCGGTCGGGACCGAGGCCTTGAGGGAGGACGTGCATTTGTGCAGCAGGAGAGAGGGGCGGCACGGACCCCGCACTAAGCAGCCGTATTTGGGGTCCAGCCCAGATCTGGCAACCTAGAGCTGGAAATGATGTATCTTGCAGATGGACGGAAAGACCTGGTTCACGGAGACTCACCTGGGGCCACCCTTGAGGGAGGGGGCATCTTTCCTCCCTAACCCTTCATTCCTACTGGGGATGGCTCAAATCATCGTCACTGGAGCTGCCTCCTTGGATGTCACCTGAGGGTGTGGGGATACGGTGGCAAGGCCCACTGTCACCCGCCTGGCGGCTGGACTGCCATTCTCACTCTTTGGGTCTCTGGTCAACTCCTTAACCCTCCAGAAGGAGTTTGTAGGGATGAAATTGCTCTATGATCAACCACATCATTTCCCCCATTGTACAGGTGGGGAAGCTGAGACCCAGAGTGGCGGGGTCACGATCCATGGCTCCTAAAGGCTGGGGCTGGATGTCAAATGCAGTTGTGTTTGGCTTCGGGGTGAAGCTCTTAAGCATGATGCTGCACTGCCTCTCTTTAGACTAGCAGCTCCCTGAGCTCAGAGGTCCTGTCCTGTATGGTGCTTAGATCGTTGCTCTTCATCAACGGACACCCGCTGAGGTCTGTGCTCCAGACACAACACTGGGTTCTTCATATGCCTCTCCTCCTTAGTCCTCACAGCTGCCCTTTGAGGCAGCCCATCACTGCCCCCATGTCTCAGATGGGGAAGCTGAGGCACAGAGAGGTCAAGACAGGTTGCACGAGGCCACATGGGACAAGAAGTGGCAGAGCTGAGATTTGAACCCAGGCTGTGTCTCCAGCCCACATTCAAATCCGCCTGCTAAAGAGATACCAGCCAGGTGTGTGACGCTCCCGGTACCATCAGGCCCCTGGGGACCATGGACCTTACTGAGCTGGGTGGGTGCAGCTGCTCCTCCCACCCCCATGGGCCCCAGGCAGTGGGCTCCCAGTTGCAGGGTGTTACATCTCCCAGGACATTCCTGGCTCTGGCCTCACCAAAGCCTGTCCAGAGAGTCTGGTGGCTCCGGGCTCACCCTTTCTCCTTTTCCCATCAATCTCTCTCCCCTTTTCTCTGGCTCCCGGAGACCTGGGCGTTTAGAGTTGGATGATGCGGGACCACCCATAATGGCTCATCACTGTCTTGGGGGAAACCCCTCCCTTGGGCTGGCAGTCTGGGCCCCGCACCCTCCAACCCCATCCACCTCTGCAGCTTTGCCTTCCTGGGTACTCCACGTGGTCCTGAGAGTTAGGCACAATAGAGCACTCCCCACCCCTGAAGGGTCTGCCGGCGTCCCGGCCTCTTTTGCTCTTGGCCTGCCCCTCCCCTTTCTGGTTCTTATTCTTCAAGCTCTCTGGACCCCTGGGGCTCACTGTGGCCTCTCCCTCATCTGGGTCTGGTAACACTTACTATCCATTCTATTCATTTGGGGCTTAGAACTGAAATGATCTTCTCAGTTTCCAGGAATGCACATGCCGGGCCAGCCTGCCTGGAATATAATATCCTACACAGCCTTCTAATGGCTTCTATTGACTTCTTTTTCCTGGTGGCACATAACAGGTGTTCTAGAAATGCCTGAGATTAAAAACCACTTCCTTTGGGAAGCCCTCCCGGGTTGCCCTCAGTACAGGCAAACTTCCTTGTCTATGGCACCATAGGGCCCTGAGCTCCACCTTTAGGGCACTTTCACAATTACGCAGTAGAACCTGCTTCAGCATGGACTGGCCGTTACAAAATGGTGCTCAGTGAAGAAGCCAGTCACAAAGGACCACATATTGTATGATTTCATTTACAAGAAATGTCCCGAGTGGCAAATCCATAGAAACAGAAAGTGGATTAGTGGTTGCCCATGGCTGAGATGGAGAGGGGAATGGAATGACTGAGGCGTGATGGTTAAGGGGTATAAGGCTTCTTTGGGGGTAATGAAAATGTTCTAAAATTGCTTGTGGTGCTGGTCGCACAATCCTGTGTATATGCTGAAAGCCATTGGATCCTATACTTTAAATGGGTGAATTGTATAGTATGTGAATTATAGCTCAGTAAAGCCATTAAAGATTACAAAGTAGTGTAATTAAGTCATTAATTGTGTGATGATCAGTTTAATGTCTGTATCCCTCGGTAGACTGTCTGCTAAGTCTTTCTTTCCTTCTTCCTTCCTTCCATCCTTCCTTTCCTTCCTTCCTTCCTCTCTTTCTTTCTTTCTTTCTCTCTCCCTTCCTTCCTTCCTTTTTCCCTTCCTTCCTTTTAAGGTTAATTATTTTTAAAATAGACTTTAGGGCTTCCCTGGTGGCGCAGTGGTTGAGAGTCTGCCTGCCGACGCAGGGGACGCGGGTTCGAGCCCTGGTCTGGGAGGATCCTGCATGCCACGGAGCAACTGGGCCCGTGAGCCACAACTACTGAGCCTGCGTGTCTGGAGCCTGTGCTCCGCAACAAGAGAGGCCACGACAGTGAGAGGCCCACGCACCGCAATGAGGAGTGGCCCCCGCTCGCCACAACTAGAGAAAGCCCTCGCACAGAAACGAAGACCCAACACAGCCAAAAATATAAATAAATATATAAATAAAATAGACTTTATTTTTAGAGCAATGTAAAGTTCACTGCAAAATTGAGCAGAAGGTACAGAGATTCCCCACATGCCACATAGTTTTTATTCTCACCCCTCTTTTCCAAAGAGATCAGCAGAGAACAGATGCTAGTGAAGAGGGGCTGAATGAGTGAATGAATGAATGAACTGCCTCCTTGGAGACTCTGGCAGCTCTTTCCTACACACTGCCTCATCCTTTTTCTCCCTCTTCCTTCTCATCCCAAATCCCAGGCCTTCACCTCCCTCGAGAGCTGAGAGTTCTGAGGTTCAGGTGGGGGCCCTGGCTGGGTGGTTTCTTTGCATTTCCTTCCGTGTGATTCACTCTGAGCTGCAGACGAAGCCCTGGCTCCTCATTTGTTTATGAAAATGATCTGGCCTCTCCGGTGAGGTGACGGCAAGGGAAGTTAATTAAAATGTGACTTCTCCGGGAGAGGCCCCACCTCCCTCTGGCAGGTGCAGGTGGGCAGAAGTCCAGCTCGCAGAGGAACGACAGACTCAGCGGCTGCCATTGGGCGGGGCCTGGCGGTGAAGGAGGCACGGAAGCAGGCGGGTGCCTCAGTCTCCACGCTTTTTAGTGAGGGTTGCCTAGGAAGCAACGACGGCCAGAAATACTGAAGCCTTGGGCTGCAAAGGTCATCCCAATGGGAAAGTCGCTCATTCGTTCACTGCACAAATATTTATTTTGTATCTCCTCTGCACCAAGCTCTGTGCCAGGAGTTCTAAGGTGAACAAAGCAGACACATACTGCCCCCTGCCCTTATGAAATTCCTTATCTTGCTAAAAGGACAAACTGAACAAGTAATGACAACCAAGGCCACCAGAGGGTTTGATAGGGGAGCACAGACTGCCTCTAGCTCTAAAAATGTGTGAGTCTATAGAATGAGAGAAGGTATTTGCAATACATATATCTGACAAAGGGTTGCTATTCATCATATATAAAGAGCTGCTACAAATCAATAAGAAAAAGGCAGACGATCCTATAGAAAGACGAGCAAAAGACTTGAATAGGCGCTTTATTAAGGGGATGTCCAAGTGGCCAGGACCCATATGTCAAGGTGCTCAACCTCTGAGAAGTACAAAATAAAAAACTCGATGATATTGGTAAAGACATGAACCAGAACACTCATGCTCTTGGTGGGGATGTAAATTGGTACAACCACTGCGGAAAACTGTTTGGCAGTATCTATGAAAGCTAAACATATGCTTACTGATAACCCAACAATTCCCTCCTGGACACCCAGCAGAAATGAGTGCCCAAGTCCACCCAAAGAGATGTCTGAGAATGCTCGTAGCAGCTCAGTTTGTGATAGCCAAGCACCGGAAACTACCCAAATGGCCATCCCACGTGGATTAAAAAAAAAATGGTGACATATTCATTCAATAGAACACTCTATAGGGGTGGTTCTCAACTGGGGGCAATTGTGCCCTCGCCTCGCCCCCACCGAGGACATTTGCCCGTGTCTGGAGACGTTTTTGGTTGTCACAGCTAGGAGGCAGTACTACCCTCCCTCCAGTGGTTGAAGGCCAGGGATGCTGTGAAACATCCCACAATGCACAAGACAGGCCCCACTGCCAACAACAAAGTCATCTGGCCCCAAATGCCAATAGGTTAGGAACTGCTCAATGGCACCGGGAATGAGAGAACAGCTCTACACAACCACCTGGGTGGTTCTCACACAAATGTGGGACAGAAGGAGCTGGACACACAGGGCAGGCACTGCTCCATGCCAGTGAAGTTCAAACACAGCATGACTAATGTCTGGTTTCGGAAGTCGGGAGGGTGGGTACCATGGGGGTGGGGACGGTGGCTGCAAGCAGCACAAGGAGTCTTCGGGGGCACTGGTCCTGTTTCCCGACCTGATGTGGGTGCCCCTCACACCCCGCGGTCCTGCCCCCCGCCCCCCGCCCTCCCTCAGAGCGCATCCGTCTGCAAGGCGGCCACGTATCACAAGAGCAGTGGGGTCCTGATATTACCATCATGCTTGAAATTCCACCCTTGGTAGTTTGATCCTTTAGGTTCGGGCCGTGTATCTCAGAGTCCCTGCGTTAACATGTGAACGCCCTAGAGGAGCAGTGTATTCACCCATTACCA